GTATGGAATCTGACATCAGAATGCCTGGATTTGACCTCCAGATTTATCATTTACCAACTCTGTAGCCTTGAGAAAGCCATTTAGAATCCCAGAGTCCCAGTTTTTTAAATCTGTAGAATGGAGGTAATTTTACTATGTTCAAAGAGTAGTTTTGAAGCTTCAACTCTTGAAAATACTTTTTTAGGCTTTCCAAAACGCTGGTTCTTCTTACTTAAAAAAAAAATCATCTGAACATTTTCTTTTTGTCTTATCACTAAACTTTGTGATGTTGAAACTCAAATTAAAACATAAAACCACTTTTTCTGTATATAGTTTCCTGTGAATCCTAAAGAATTTCAGGAAGAGACTATGGAAATATGGAGCCCTTTAAAGTTGTTTGTTTGATGTTTCAACTAAGAATTACTCCAGTAACAAACCAGATTAAACAAGAATAAGCATATGAGAAAAAGTAGGAATCACAACTACACTTTTGAAGAGTTTTGCTGTACATGGGACAATGAAAGAGGATGATGGTTGAGGGGGAAAGGGAGGGCCAAAAAGAAGTTTGTTATCTGTTTTAGAGATAAAATAAGTTCAGCATGTTTGTAGGCTGCTGGGAATGACCCAGTGGAGCAGGAAAACATAGTCCAGGAAAGAGAGGTGACTATCCAGGAGTGACATCCTTGAGTAGGTGAGAGATGGGATCTACTGACAAGGGGAAGAGTTAACCCGAGAGAAGAATAAGGACAGACCATCCATAGGAACAAAAGAGAAAAGGATGTGCCAAGATGCAGGTGGGTGGGTAGTTTTGTTGGTGGAAACACATAGAAGTCCTCTTTTGATTGCTTCTCTTTGCCCTTTGAAAGAGGAGCGTAAGCTCATTAGGTGAGCGTGAGAAGGAGGGTAGTGTAAAAAAAGGGGAAAGGGTGAAAGAATAATCTAAACAGGGAGTGTATCCATCACGGTCATGTGTGCATGTGTTTCTTTTATAATGGCAACAGTAATAGATTTTAAAACTCCTTTAATTTTGCCCCATTGCCTTCAGGGTAAATAGGGATTCACAGGCATCATATTAAAGACTCTGCCTCCAGCCGGGCATGGTAGCGCATGCCTGTAATTCCAGCTACTCGGAAGGCTGAGGCGGAAGGATCGCTGGAGTCCAGCAGGCGAGGCTGCAGTGGCCGGGAGCGGCCACTGCACTCCAGTCTGGGCGACTGAGTGAGACTCCAACTCAAAAAAAAAAAAAAAAAAGAGTCTGCCTCATTTATCTCATTCATAAACCTTAATCTCATTTCCTACTCCATTCTCATTACAATCTATGCTCAATTTTTATCAAGTACTTAGCATTCTTCTCAATGGCTTTATGTTTAATGCTCCTGTGGCAGACTATTTTCCACAGGTGACCACAATAAGTATCCCATCCCTTGTGTAATTCTGTAATGTGACCTTGAAAAGCAGAGTCTACTTCTCCACCTCCTTGAACCTGTGGCTGTTTGACCAATACCGTGGCTATGATACCATGCCTGCTCTGGGAGTAGCCCTTAACTAGCCTGGCAGCTTGTCTTTGTGCCTTCTGGAATGCTTGCTCTTGGAACTCAAGCTGCCATGCTATGAGAAGCAAAAGGCACGGGAGACATTTCCAACAGGCAGTCCTGGTGGGCTCCCCATCGACACTCAGAATCAGTCACCAGTCATGTGAGTGAGTCATCTTGGATGACCAGCCCAGATGCACCTGCTGATGACTGAACCCCTGACATCACATAACTGCAACCAAGAGAGACCCCCAACCAAGAACAAACCTGCAGAACCATGAGAGATACTTTGTTGTCTTAAGTGCCCGCATTATAGATATGATGCAGCAGGAGACAACCAGACCGTTTTCAGTGCTGACGAGGTAGATGGCAATTGGAGTTGTAAGAGTGATGATGGCAGAGAGGGTCTAGAACTTAACCACGGCAGTGCCACTCCCTGGCTATATGACTTCGGAAGTTACTTAAATTCCTGAATTTCATCTTTCTATGAATAGGGATAACAATAACCTCCTCACCTGACACAGTTCCTGGCATTAAATGAGGCGGTAGATGTCTCTGCCCCTTACTTTGAGCCTTTTCTTCAGTCCCAAGGGAAAGACCTCTCTCCCACCTCCTGACCCACAAACTGGCTCCTCCCCACGACAAGAGCTACTGACAGTTAAGACTTGCTGAGCTACGTTTAACCAGTGGGCAAAGTTACGGCACTGCACTCATGCCTGTGAGCATGCTTTCTGGTTTTTCTGGCACCAGGTACAGGAGGAAATCCCAGCCACCCTGCCAATAACTACTTGGAAAGTACACTCAGGGTCTGCTCCCACAGAGCAGGTATATCTAATATACAGCTATGGAGCTATAAGAAGCTACTTCAGCCTTGGGACAAAGCAAAGCTCTCCAACCATGCTTTAACATCACATTTGATACCTACAAAAACCAGCGTTTTATTTCTCATATGGCTTCCCAACAGGGGAAGAGTGTAAATGGGTTGATGAAACAAAGCACATCCTGTAACTCTAATAAACTCTGACTTTTTTTGTGTGTTAGAGTCTCACTCTGTTGCCCACGCTGGAGTGCAGTGGCAAACTCGTGGCTCACTGAAGCCTCAACCTCCTAGGCTCAGGTGATCGATCCGCCTCAGCCTCTCAGGTAGTTAGGACTACAGGTGTGCACCACCATGCCCCGGTAATTTATTTTATTTTATTTTATTTTTTCTAGAGACAAGCCTTGCTTTGTTACCTAGGCTGAACTCAAACTCTTGGGCTCAAGTGATCCTCCCACCTCGGCCTCCCAAAGTGCCAGGATTATAGGTATGAGCCATTGTACCCAACCAGACTCCCACCGGTCTTTAGCATTCAGTTCAAGCACTGCCTCTTCTGGAAAGTCTGTTTTTTTGCCTCATCCAAGGTGTACTAGGTTCTCGCTCCATAAGTTTCCATTTCTCCTTATGCAGACCTTCTACCACTTCTCATATTCATACTTTGGCTTGATACTGTCTCCCAATAGTCAATAAACCTCTTCAGAATGGGGGGGAAAAAGGTTTTTTCATTCAAAGTGCTAACATACGACAGGGTCTCAATCAGTATTTGTGGAATGAATTAATTAGCTTGTGTACAAATTTTAAGGCTATTGGGTATGTGTATACGTGTGTGTGCGCGCACGCAACACCCTTACACATACACATTCTTCTAACACAAACATATGGCCAAAATCTAGATAAAGATTTTAAAGTTATACTCCTAATCCAGAAGTTATAAAATGACTTGGATTGGACAAAAAACTTGTGATATTTTAATATTTACCAAGGAAATAATATACTGGTGTCATGTAACAAAGGTTTTGCTAATCAGTTAACACTTTTAGCTTGTAATGTAGAAAAAATAATCAAAGGTTTGACTTGCTGAAGTATCAGTTTTAAGGCCTCTATAATAAATTATTATTAAAGCCCCCAAAAAGCAAAACTGAAATAATGGTAATATTATTCAACAGAAGAAATTTAATGCACTATAGGCATCTTGGTAAAGTGAGCAACAATTATACAGGATTCATATATAAATATTTACTTATATACCTTCATTGTCAGTATTGAGTTTGGCTTCCAGTTCTGCTATCTTGTGTCTTATTTCAAGCACTGAGAGTTGTACTACATCCCTGTTATTAAAAATACTTTTGTTAATTATGATTCAATTAAAAATAACATAATCCACCACTACTTCAGGAACAATTTATTATGAAACCTCTTTTATTGAGGACATGATTGAGATCAGGAATCAGGCAAACAAAGGCTGGTGAGCCAGTTCCAGAAGGACTCATATATGCACTAAAGCTCAAAACCCCTCAGGCAGCCACTGGATACCTTTTATTCTTATATATGATGCCAAAGAAGCTGGTTATCTGGTTTTTCAGAACCCAGGAAATGAGGTGCTGAAAATTATTACAGAAAGGAGTAACTAGTGCAAGTGACAACCTGAAACCAAGAGGAATAAAAAAACACTAATTTTAAAAATACATATTTTAAAAAAAAGCATTCCAGAGCTTATTTAGGACATCAGCAAATAGCACAATAGCACATCCATTGCCATAATATGATGGCAATTCCATATCTTTGCAAACTTACTATGTTCAAGGTAGTGTACTAAGTGCTGACGACATTACGGTGAACAAGTGAAAAGAAAAACAGCAGCAGCCGATTTCCACTACAATCCAGTACTAAGTGCTTTACAGGACATCTCGCTCAACCCTGGCAACAACTGCGGAAGGTGTGAGATCACTATTTGTGTGCCAATCTCAGAACTGAGAAAACTGAGGCTTTGCGAGATTAATTAACACGTCCAAGATCATACGGTTCCTGAGTGAAGAGGGCTGGGACCTGCATTTAAGCAGATTCTTCTAGAGTACTCGCTGCCATCCTTTTCTTCCTCAGGGGATACACAGAGCCTCAGAATGCTTACAGCTTGGTACGAGTACCAGAAATAGATAGGCAATGAAAACAATGGGGCTGGAGCTCCATAAGAGAAAAACGCTGTACGCTCTCGGGACACAAGAGGGTAAAATTCACGGGGCCTGTGGGTGGGGTTGGGAGTGTGTTGAAAACACACTTTAAAACGTTTCAAGCAATACGAAGGACTAATACTGCTTTCAAATGCATAAAGGAGGGACATCATTTTTACGAAATGTCCCTATTTCTTAAGTTCTTCTAAAGGGATGAAAACACTCGTAACTAAACATCTTTTCCACCCGAATGTAGTGAAACATCAGAATCAGACGCACAGGACACAATGCGCCCCACGAAAGAGATCCTAAATGCAGAGCGTCCCACCTCACGACCCGCCCATTCGCAAACAAAAAGGCTTAACGGAAAGAAGCAAAGGTACACCTCGCATCCAGAACCGTTTCTGGAGGCCGCCCGACGTGCACGGGCGTCCGCCTCGGCAGCCCCGGCCGGGGCCACGGGCCGAGCTCTGGGCCCCGCACGCCCCGCGCCCCCCGACTCACTTCCGGTGGGTTTCCTCCAGCAACTCCAGCTGAAGGCGGTCGGTGCTCAGGCCGTCGAAGCCGTCGCCCCTCCCTTTCCCCGGCGCGTCGGGGTCAGGACCCCCCGCGCCCGCGCCCTGAGCACGGCTCGGAGCTGGAGGCCCGAGGGAACACCCGGGGAAGGGGAAGGCGACGGGGGAGCCACGAGCGGCGGCCATGGCGAAAAGACGCCAGGTAGCGCGGTGACGTCATAAGGCGAAGCCCGCAGGAGGCCGGGGAGGGGCCGGGCCCGAGTGAGAGGGGCGGGGCCTGGCTGGGGCGGGGCCGGGGCGGGACCGCGGTGGCGGAAAAAATGAAAAAAAAAATTAACGAGGTTAGGCACAGAGACTCACGCTTGTAATCACTTTGAGAGTCTGAGATTGGAGGAGCTCTCAAGGCCAGGAGTTCAAGACCAGGCTGGGCAACATACAGAGACCCCCCCATATCTTATTTAAAAATTTAGCCAGCCATGGTGGGGTGCACTTGGGAAGCTGAGGCAGAGGATCCCTTGAACCCAGGAGTTTGAGGTTACAGTGAAGTGTGATCATGCCATTGCACTCCAACATGGGCCACAGGATGAGACCCTGTCTCTCAAAGGAGGAGAAAAAAAGCATAAAAAGCACATTTGGTTAATGCATGTTTTATTTGGTTACTGCGTACCAAGATATTTTTGAAAAACTGATAATTTGTGGGAAAAATATTAGGACTTAATCTGACAACTCACACTGGGAAGCTATGCTTGCCATACTCCCGGCCGACTGGACTTCCAAATGGCAGATACCATCCTACAATCTTGCCCTTCAACCTACTTTTATCTCCTCCATCTCCACTCCACCTAGTTCCACGGCCACACTCTCAATCTTGTCATCATTTGGCGTGGCTTTACAGCAGACATCTTCAATTCAAGTCCGTCAGAATGGCTTTTACCAAAAGGTCAAAAAACAATGGTTGTTGGCAAGGGTGTGGAGAATGGGGAATGCGCTTATGTCCCTGGTGGGAATGCAGGCTGCTGGTTCAGCCCCCGTGGGAAGCACTTTGGAAGTCTGGAGGTTTCTCAGGGAACTAAAACTAGATCTACCATTCAACCCAGCAATCCCACTACTGGTGTATACCCATAGTAGCACAAATCACTCTACCAAAAAGACTCCTGCATGTCTAAGTTTATCGCAGCACTTACCGCAATAGCAAAAACATGGAACCAACTCAGGTGCCCCTCAACGATGGACCGGATGGGAAAATGTGGTACATGTACACCATGGAAGACTACACAGACATTTTTTTGAAAAAGCATGTTGTAGCATATTGTAGCAACATGGATGCAGCTAGACTATCATCCTAAGCAAATTATCACAGAAAAAAAAAATTGAATCCCACATGTTCTCCCTAATATGTGGAAGCTAAACAGTGAACACATACGGGTACAAGGATGGGAATGACAGACGCTGGGGCACTCCTGAAGGGGAGAGGGCAGGAGGTGGGTAAGGATTGAAAACCCCACTGGGTACCCTGTCCACCAACTGGCTGAGGGGCTCAGCAGACGCCCAAACCTCACCATCACACAATATACCTGTGTAACAAACCTGTACGTGTACCCCTTGAATCTAAAAACAAAGCAGAAAACTGCTGTCTCCTTTCCTTCTGGGTTCCAACTTGGTTTTTCCCTGCACAGCGGTATTTTATTATCTATGAACACCATCAGGTGAGCTTCTTAAACACGAGAATTCTGAGACTCTATCCCATTTACCAAGATCTTGCTTCATGCATAGCACATTTGAGCAGTTTGCTCTTCAGCTGGCTTCCAAACTTGTCTTCCAAATTTCAGCAGAATAGATTGGGCAGTGGAGGACGGAGAACACTCTCCCACACTAATAACTTTCCTCCAATAAACAGTCTCCAAGGTGAACAAGTTGTTTCTTTACATGTGACAGCTCTTTACATAAAATACATTTTAAGGCATTTCAGGCTTCTTTTTTCATGTGACCTGTCTTCTTAAAGTTTTGTTGTTTTGTTTTTTTTTTATGTTCCTGGATCTTTTAAATATGGTGTGAATAGAAAAGTTTTGTTTTTGTTGTGGTGGTTGCTTTGTTTTTTTAAATAAACAGCTATTCAGAAGTCAATGAAATATTTATGTTGCTAAAGTAAACACAAAATGGTAAAATCTGTTGGCAAGTCTGTTATAAAACATCTAGTCTTATAGTTTGACAAGAAAGGACCAGAGAAGCAGTCTTTGTTAAGTAGAATATTATTTATTAGACTTTCCTGGGAAGTAGAAGATAAAACTATATAGATCTAAGTTCTAAACTTAGCTTCCTTAATGTCAAGCAGACTATCCCACACCGGTTATTAAGTCCAGGGAGACTCCATACTCTTTCGCCCATTGTACTTTGGTACTGGAAGGTTGCCAAGGAAAACACATCCATAAACTGGATGGAGTGAGACTTACCTACCAGGGGGACCCCCCAAAACAAAACCAGAATTATTTTTTGGTGGGCAGGCCTCTTGTAGCACAAGCTTCCCCCGCTAGGTGAGTGTTCTAGGGACCCTTCGGCATCACATACCGGCTAGCTTGTGGTAAGAGGCTGTCTTCGGTGTCAGTGAGTTTTTTTTTTTTTTTCCTTTTGGAGATTCAACGCATTTGCCCATTTCATGACGGTTGATTTATGAGAGCACTTGTGCACACCGCGCTGGGTGTTCAGCAGTTTTTTACCAAAACCAGCATGACCCCTGTGCCCCACCTTTCCTATTTATCTAATCGCATCCTAGCGATTTGGCTTGTTTCCTTGGATGAAAAAAGTCCTCCAAGGGAAACGTTTTACTGATGTGGAAGAGGTAAAAGAAAAATGGCAGAAGCACTAAAAGGCATCCAATTTGAGTTTATAAACTGTTTTGAGCAGTGGGAAAAGCACCTCTGATAGGTGTACTGCAGTCCTTTCTGCCCATTGACGTGGCCCAGGAAGCATCACTAGTCTCTCTCCCCAGGCGGATCGCGAACCTGCGGGCTCAGGCAATCCACTCACCTCAGCCTCCTAAAGGCACTTTTCATCTCTTGATAAGGAAGTGTCACAGGCTCAAGGCCCATTTTTCTGTGGCTGGGCAGGGGTCAAAAGACTGTGCACGTGAGACTGCCTTTCCCGACATGTAGCTTACCCTAAAACACCCGTGAAGACAGAGAAAGAGACAAAAGCCCACACTGTTACCAAAACATAGGACTGTTGACCTGTTGCTAATATCTTGGGAAATTTTCTACCAACAATCAAGCCAACGGACTTGTAATTAAAAAGAGAATGCTAATAGCATCAAGTAGCTGGAATCAGAGGAAATCTATAAAGGCTATATCTTTGTCTGTTTTCTGTTGTTTAGAGTACCTGAAATGGGGTAATTTATAAGAAATAAAATGTATTTCTTATGGTGCTGGAGACTGCAAAGTCCAAGGTCAAGGAGGTAGATCTAGTGAGAGCTTCCTGCTAGTGGGAATTCACTCAAGAGGCCTGAAGTGATGCAGGGTATCACATGGCAAGGGAACTGAGTGTGCTAATGTATTAGCTAACTCGATGTGTCTTCCTCTTGCTAAAAAGTCACCAGTCCTCTCATGATAACCCATTCATCCTTCATCTGTTTGTCCATGAGAGGGTGAATCTACTCAGAGTAGAGCCCTCATGATCAATCACCTCTTCAAGGCCCCGCCTTTCAATACTGCCACCTTAGGGAGTTAGTTTCAACCTGAGCTTGGGAGGGAACGTTCAATTCTCAGCAGACTCTTTGTCTTTCCCTTTATACATCCATTTACGAATATGTAGTGGGCAACGATGTATTAATCACAAACTTTATTGATCAGAAGCTTTTAATTTTTGTCATTTATTTCTAAGTTTACTTGTGTCATGTGACATGCTTTAGATAATGGTGAAGGTGACTGTTGCACAGTTGGATTAAGTGTTGTCTTTAAACAAGACCATGCTCCACTGCCCCTGGCCATTCCCTGACTGCCTTGTTTTATGGCTTCTCTAATGAAGTGCCCCCCCCCCCACATTCAGGGGCTGGATCTGGGGGCCTAGACAGTGCAGGTGTTACTTCAGAGAGATATCTTTTGGTAAGTTCACGGCCTGGTCCTGACCATCTGGGGTTTTAATTATGTAAGCTTTGCCTGCCTGCAAGAAACTCATCTGTGTCTAAGCTGTGCTGGGGCTAAAAGTTCTAAACTTCAGTTCACGTGGCTGGTTCCTCTGGAAACCAGCTCCTATCCTCCAAGAGACAGCTAATCAGCTATAAGTGATTAATATCACACCCTTAGAGACACACACAGGATAATGTTGGGGCAAATGTCTAGGCTCCCTTTGTTTTAATCAAGTTGACATAAAATTAGCCATGACTACTTCTTAGCTCAGTTTTCATTATGTAGAAGTTTTCATTATTTTCATTATCGTTGCCCACTACATATTCCATGTAGCACACAGACCTTAGCTTAAGGAATAGATTGCTTAATCATCACTAAGAAAAATATACCAGGGGGGGACTCCAAAAAAACCTAAGAATGTGTTTATTAAAAGTTGTGTATTTCATCTTACATGTTTAAACTTCAAAGTACTTTCTATTTGATGCAATACACCTATCAGGGTGCTTTTTCACTGTTCAGTTTTTGAACTCATCAGTTTTAATACCTTTTAATACTTCTGCCATTTTTTTTGTTTGTTTCACCTCTTCGACACTGGCAAAAAGCTTCCCTTTGAGGACTTCTTTCATCTGAGAAAACAAAAAGAAGTCATTCAGGGTGAGAGCGGGTGACTAGGGAGGGTGGGACATGGGGGTCATTCGGCTTTTTGTCAAAAACTGCTGGACACTCAGCATAGTGTGGGCAGTTTGTTTGTGTAAATGACTCATCATGAAACGGGCGAACACATTGAAAGAAACCCTCCCCCCCAAAAAAAATTCACTGAAGCTGAATGCAGCCTCTCACAACAACGCTAGCTGGTACACTGATGCCAATGGGTTCTTAGAACGCTTACCTAGCAGGGGAAGCCTTTACTACAAAGGGTCCACCCTCCAAAAAATAGTTCTGGTTTTTTGGG